TCCTAGATAGGTATTATCAGTATCGGTTCTAGTATCAGGTCATACCTCCATTTTAAATCAAGGTGTACTTGGCTGACATCAAAAATATTATCATATTATATTATTGGATATTATGTACTGTAGAATCAGGGAAAATTTAGAAACTCCATCAATCTCGAGGTATGCAAAACATCTGAAAGTACCCATATTCTCACTTCTTCCGAAAACTTCCGAAAGCAGTATGTATATTGCAGTCGGTATATGAAAGTCTGAGACTCTCAATATATTTCTTCATTCAGCCCCAAGTTTCAACAGTATACCTGAGGAAGTAGGATAGAAGGATGAATAAAGGATAAGGCATATGGCTTTGAGATCTACGCGTTCTACTTCCAATCAGTATGGTAGTGAAATAGAAGGTAATAAGCAGCTTTGGGCTACATATTCCGCTAACTCTAAAATTGAGGTTAAATTCTCTTTGCAATTTTCCACACGTCGTGATGTTTGAAGCTAGCAAAAGGCAATTTCATGTGTCGATGCACATTGTGTCCTCAACCAGTTGGAGAATCTGACCATTCTCTGTGCTCGTCAGTGCAGATATCTTCCGAAATCAAGCTGATTGTGAGCATAAAGAAGGCAGTTAGGTCATATTTGAAGCTCATTGCTCGCTAGATTTCCAGGCCATTCATTCCTACATGAGTTGAAGAAGATCGGTATTTCCAGCTCCCCTTACAACTAAGGACGTTCATATGTTACATCTGAGTGATCAGCTTCAACTACTCGCGAGATAGACGGCTAATTAGCAATAATGAACGTCCGCCGAACACTTTACCAACAATTCATGGTGAATCACAGAGGAGGCGTTATTGACCAAACAGGTTCGGCTTCAGTTGAAGGGAATCAGTTGCGATAGACATCGTATCGTCTAACATGTGCTTCGAATACGAAGAACAGCAGCTCACGTCATTTCAGCTCGACGTCTAGAGAAAAGTTTATCACTTCTCACAGGGTCGTTGCTTTTACGCGGTGGTCTGGTGGGCAAATACTTAGTAAATCGCGGTGGTGAAGCGATAAAACGTTTCATTACCAGAATCGAGTCAATGGCGCCAAAGATGCCTGAGGAAATAAAAATAATATGAGTATCTGCTCGCTTTGTAGGTCACTGTTTGTGTGAAGCATGTGATCAGACCACTGCGAAAACATGAAGGCTAGATGAGTGGCTTATCCCGAAAGTGAAAAATCAGTCATAATTTGTCCATAGCTTTTCACACAGTGAGAAAAGATACCTACTTCTTCTCCGAGTAGTGAGTTCAACACGGTCTCAGATAGAGCACAGAAAGTTGTAAAGTGACAAAAACGCAAAAGGCAAGTGATTTTAAAAAGTTTTTCAAATAGTTTAATTTTCGAGGAGATTAATCGACCACTGTGAACATATGCATTGCGAAATGCACATGGTTGCGTTCGATGGAATGTATTTCTCTGAAACGATATGAGTTTTTTGTTTCTTGTTGAAATGTCAACCATTCAATCGGATCGCTGTCCCACGCAGCCCGCCGCTTCGAAGCGCCTGCTCCGGCGATTCGGCAAAGGGCTCGCGCGACCACTCTGTAGTGCTGAGACCACAGACCTCATAACTGAAAACAATAGCGCTCCAGTAAACATCTTTGACGTCTAACAATGTATAAAGGTTACATCGTGGTGTTGTTCTTAAAGTTTCTTATTTTTGTGCCGCCTATTCGTTCAGCATTACAACATTTCGTGCCGCCAACGCTCGAGTCCGGGATATTTTGAGGGCAGGACTCCGCCCGTCCGGCAGTTATCTCCACTATTTCACAGGCCTCGCGGTAACAAACGCCTCAGTGCACCGATCCTCGACCAGTCGGTCGCGTGCGTTTATTTGTGACGCGTTCACCTCTACGGCCTAATCACTGTCCACTTATATGGCATCAATAGCGCCACATTAGCCCTTCCCATAATTAGACTTATTATGCCTAAGAGCCGTTATTCATTTAAGAGGGCTGGATACTCGGCTAAGTTTCTGTCCGAAATCATTCTATTAGTGTTCCTCTATGAAGAACATTTCCATTCACAGTTTAGCTTTTCTCCCATCAGGAGCATTTTTCCTAACTGTAACTATTCGCTACCTGTTATCGTTAACACTTGTACTTGTAAATTAATATTCACTGAAATGATTCAGCTCATTTTCAGGCAACATGTCTGACGAGGAAGAGCAGTAGTGAGTGCTTATGATACCATATTACAGTTAGCAAAGAGGCCCATCTTCAGCTAATTTCATTATGTCTTCAGCTCGGGCGAGGAGGAGGCCGAGGCAGAGCAGGAAGAGGAGCCTGAGGCTCCTGAAGAGGAGGCAGCAGAAGAAGAGAGCAAGTGAGCGTGATGTGAAGCTTTGGAGTGATTGTAGTCACAGATCTAATCGGGTGTGATCAATTTAACAACTTTTTCTCCCTCCTGTTTCCCCTTAGATCCGTTTTCGTATCGTTCTCCCTGATCTTGTATGAACAATAATAACATACATGTTGAAAGGGCCGAGGAGCCCGATGAAGAAACACCACCAGACGAAGCAGAAGCTGAAGCAGAGAAGTGAGTTGAAGACTGTTGAGAATAGGTCTAGATTCGCAGTACTGGGTCACTGAATCAGTCGGTACCACTCCCAATTGATTTGGTAACTATTTAGTATTTCCCATACGGAAATTAGCTAGGATCTGGCAACAACTAAGAGTTAACCTTGATTTCTAGGCCAAAAGCTCCAAGACCTCAGCAGCAGCAGGAAGAAAAGCCACCAGCGGAGATGACTGAGGCCGAGGCAGCAATGATGGTTGGTTACTAGAGAGACATTCGGTTTTTGATGCAAGTGAAAAGGTATATCGAAATTTAGGCGGCCAAGAAGCGTCACGAAGAGGAGGAAGCGGCCAAACTTCTGGATTACGAACAACGGCGCGTTCTTGAGAAGGAGCGTATCGAGAATGAACTACGCGAGCTCAAAGAGAAGCAGGAAAAGCGACGAGCTGAACGAGAAGCTGAAGAGAAAGAATTTGCCGAAAGGCGCCGACAGGACGAGGAACGACGTCGTAAAGAAGAGGTGAGTCAGATTCTCAACGGACCCGTTATCTACACATTTCGTGTCGTGATCTCCAGAGACGCGAACTCCGTTCGAAATGTAGCAACCAGGTCTTTCTTGAAATGATCGATTATTTCCAGGAAGAGCGCAAGGCTAGAAGTGATGCCGAGAAAGCTCGCAAAAACGAGGAGAAGTCACGTCGTCAGCAGATGATGGCCGGCTCGTTCGCAGGTCATGCGACGGGCGGTGAAGGACGCAATTTCAAGATCAATTCCAAAGGCGAGCAGGCGGCGCAGTTCGGCAATCTGGCACAAGTGGGCAGACAGATATTCGCAGTGCTAGATAGTGGCACCAAATCAGACTCACAACTAGCTCCTAGTTAAGTTGTTAGCTCAATAACAACTAACGATGTCTTAACCTGCTTACTATTAACTACTGAGCTGGATAAGTAGTGTATAGAATCCTATTCGCTTTAGTAGCCAATATTACAGATGTGGTGAGAAGAGAATATCACCAAGGAGCTGTCAATTTTATTTCTCAGGAATTCCGTGCTCCGTGGGGTGCACGGAGAAGAACTTAAAGTCCCCGTGCGACGGGACGACAGTCCTGTAGTTGCGTTAAGACGATCAATTCGGCAATTATACCATTTTCTAACCAATGATCACGTAATTATCATGACCGTACACCAACTTTGTACTCGTTATTGTAAAATTCTGGCCACCACTTGTCCTTAGTGGGACCTATGATCTACGATGATGATCGGGAAGATGGCTCTACGGTTGTAATTACTAGAGGAATACATCAGAATATCCTGAAATTGAGTTTATCAACGGTCAAAAGACCATATGAATGGAAATGGAAATACAGTGTTATGATACTTCCAACGTCACTTACTTTAGGAAGAACATCACGACAAGAAATCGGCAAGGTTTTGAAAAGTCTCCTACTTTGAATTTTTTTTTCAATTTATTTACTACAACTTTCTCACAACCAAATTAACTACAACTACCGTGTTCTTCGTTCCTTACCTACCACATTCTAACCATAACCTTGGCATTTTGACATTCACAGTGTACTGAACTTTATGAAATGTCGTTCAATTTAGGGAGTAAAACAAGATGGACAAACGAAAGAACAGCAAGAAGAAGCCAAGGCAGCGTTCTTGGCAGCCGTTTGCCGTTCAGTGGATATCTCGTCGCTGCTTCCGAACGATCTGAAGGAGCGAATCAAAACGTTGCATAACCGAATCTGTAAATTGGAGGCCGATAAGTATGATCTGGAGAAGCGCCATGAGCGTCAGGAATATGACGTAAGAATAGCTGAGTTGATTTACGTGGAGCAAGATGAATATTGATTGATACAGATGAAAGAGCTGCACGAACGTCAACGCCAAGTTGCCAGGAACAAGGCGCTCAAAAAGGGACTCGATCCTGAGGAAGCCGCTTCATCTCAACATCCTCCAAAAATCACTACCGCTTCCAAGTTTGATCGTCAGATTGACAGAAGGTCTGTGATTGTATTTCATTTTCACCCCCCGTTTTCGTCCGTAGGCAATATTAGCAAGCAATCGATTGTTCAGGTCTTATGGAGATCGACGAGAGCTGTTTGAGCATCCAGTCATCAAGAAGCCACCCACCATTGCCCACGGAACCGCACGACCTCCACCAGAGTGGGGCAGAAAAGAGAATGAGGAGCTCGAACAGCTTAGGTGAGTGTTATTGAACATTCTGTCTATTTGATGCTGATGTTGACATCATGTGAAACTGTTCCAGGAAGAACCTCGAGCCTCCAAAGTACGTTGAACAAGTGAAAGCCGAAGGAGACGCAGCTCGCCCACCAGTCCAAGCGATTCCTTTGCAGTTACCCGACAAGGACTTCGAAGATGAACCAGAGCGTCCAGCTCCAGAGGTCGAAAAAAAAATTTCAATTTGATTATATGCCTTTTTTCAAATCTGAACCTCCTATCATTGTGCTTGCAGTTTCTCGACTTTCTGTCCGTCTGTGTTCAATCACCATGACTTTTTCATGTGTGTGGGCCACTGAGATTGATGGTTCATTTTTCAGAAAGCTGCGGATGGCGAAGCCCCTGCTGCAGAAGTCGCAGCCTGATTCTTTACGTGGATCTACTTACTATACGTGCACCCTTTTTGAAGTTGTTCTACACAGTATATTTGGATTCGTTCTGCTTTTCTTCCGCTTCAAACTGTACTAACCTTCAACGACGGAGACAAGTGAAGCCAGTGCACTGACGAGGCCTTAATTAGTTTGAATAGATGAACTCTGTGCTGGTACGATTCGCTACTGTATGACTTACCTTCGGCAATAAATTCTTCGTCCTTATCTGGTTGCTATCCTAAGTGGAAAAGCTCGATTCAAGTTATCGCTCGGAAAATTTAGAAAAAAAAGTTTGGCCGCTAAGGCGGACATTTTCGTTTCGAGACTCAGGCTCGAAGAATCTCGCTGGCATCATCACACTCCACGAATTTTTGGACAGTACCAGTCGATTTCCACCTGGGCTCGCCTAAACGTTTCCCAAAAGGAAAATAGAATGACTCGACAGGCCGGTCTTCTTTACATACGTGGCTCGACACAATTGAATTCTATCTGAATAGTAGCGGCTCTGGTAAAAATTTGGCCTCCTTGAAAAATTAGCCATTTTACAAATTACTATTCATACACTTCACAAGTGAGGTACTGAATAATCTAGGGTTGGAAGGGCTAGCTATGTATAACAAATGACTCAATCCGGGAAGTGATCTTCAAGTCTTCATGTAGTAGTGGAGTCACATGCATCTGCTTCGAACGGTTATTTTTGGAGAGATCAAAAAATTTATTCTGCAAATTTCAATGACTTATACACAAGCTGAGTTCCACAATTGCTTCAAAGAGTCATCTGTGGTGAAAGCAGGATGAGATGTGCTCGAACACGGAACCGTTCATTTAGGGTAACAAGGTGCCAATACCGTCACTGTAACCACTTTCCACTGCAGCTGCATGCATGGCGCATCCCAAAGCGTCTGATAAACACCAACGCGTTCGAATTTGCGCGAACACGCAGACCCGTAACCTCAATGTCATAAAATTCCGTGAAAATGATCCGTCTCTTATCACATGTACACCTTATCAACGCAGCATTCTTGAAACATTTTCTCTCGACCTTCTCGCAAACGTCTGAAGATGCACATTTACTCGGAAGTGGTGAGTTGAAAGTTCAATTTTTGCTCAATTAAACTCGCGGCATCCGCTCAGCCGCCACTTCCCCACCACCCCTCACCGTCCCGCCACCCTTCAACTCTAATACCTGTTAGTCTGTGCATGGGGCTTCACTTCTGTGTACTGGTGCGCACACATCTTTCCTGGCAATCTCCGTGTCCCGAAGAGCGTGTCTGTAATCTAATGATTCTCCTAGCAAGTAATTTTCTATCATAACGCGTGGCCCTTCTCGGCTCTCCAAGTATTTCTTTAGGCAGATATTGGTGGTGATCGGATCTGGCCGCCGCAGTGTACTTGATAAGTGAAATTCCTTTTTCCGGTCGTATCCCTCCGCACTCAACCAAAACTCCATTTGTGAATACTGCAAGTGGGGATCCCTACGAGCCGTTGCTGAACCCTATGTAAATGAGCGTTAGAACCGATGATTTCGCTTATTGCACAACACACAGTGCTGATTCAGATTTCCTTTACCAGCAGAAATACTAGTAACATTCAGGTAGGTCCACTCAAAATGACTTGTTAGTGCCTGGTTATGAGTATAACTAGTTACATTATGAAATGACTATAACTATTTTCACTGCCTGAAAATTGAGCCAGTGGTAACAACAAAGGCTGATCGTAGTAGGCAACTGCGTCAGCATTTTCTGGAGCATGCAGTGATTTCTAGCTAAATGGCTAAGCATCTTGAAGTTTAACTGAAGCGGATTGCTCAAAATCATCGATTCACTTTGAGATGTTCAAGAAGTACTTTGAAAGAAACTAGTTGTTTTGAGCAAACTCTCTTTCATCGCGATAATTATTCGAGGCCGATTCCAATGTGTTCCCTATCTGTCGGTGTTACTTAATTGCAGACAAATAGCTCTGACAAATGTGCATAACAACGGCAGTCAACGAGAACAACGCTTCAGTCTTCGAATTTCATTGAACGATGACAAGTTTGAGGGCTAATAAATGCATTCCGTCGAGTTACTCAGAAAATGCGATTTATTAGTCATCGAAGCACTTTTATCGCGAAATCATTCTATTTCCTCCCATTTCTTCGTCATCATATCTGGTGTAAACAGGAATCGGCTTAAAAACCAATCGTTATCTGAGACCAGGAACTTTGCCCTTTATTTCGAGGTTGATAAGTAGGGGGGAAACGCTTTCTACAAGTCAAGGTGATATACTTGTTCTTAGTACAATGCACTGATTATTATGAAGTGCTTTGCATCCAATAAATTGGTTGTAATTGCTCTCTTTCTACGGTGACCGAAGGATGGAAATCAAAGAGATTTTGCGACCGCCTCCAGGGCCGGGCGCAGTTCTCAGAAACTTTTCGGAAACAACACCTTATTCTTCCCGAATTCATCTTCCTTCAGTTCCACATTTTTACCACAACTATCACATTTTCACGTTCAAAGAGGAGAGCGGGGAGAGAGAGAAAGAGTAATCCTTGTACAACAGCAGAGCAGCGAATTTTCAAGGAGTCTTGAGGATTCCTGTTATCTGTTTAATCACTAACGGATTGCTTGCCTAACAGGCTGAATGTTCCTTAATGGGTTCTTTGCCTTGATGGCCCATCTTCATTGTAAACTCTCAACCCTAGCTCGCCGGGCGTCAAGTAGCAATAGATATATAATGTGTCCAGAACTACGGCATAAGTGGTCGAACAAAAACGCCTTCCCATTCCCATCCAATGAATGGTTTTCGGATGAGCTCCTCATCATTATGCTGTTGCCATCCTGGATTCCCTTGAAGATTTTATCGCCTGAGTGCACTAGAGAGTTTGCTAACTCGGAATGATACCGCGTAGCAGCAGTTTACTTTAGTGAACGAGGGGACTGAGGGATCGTTGTGACGAGCAAGGCAGACCCTGTTGCGATCCTATATTTTTCAATCAAGAGGTTTGTAGGAGTGCTACAGAGGAGGGGAACAGTTATATCGCAGATGAAAATGATTATAAAGATGTTGAAGAGTACTTCTCTGCTCGGAGCATCAACACAGATCTTTCAGAGAGTTCCCAGCATTCATCCAATACACGAGGAACTGAGATCAGGATGCGCCATCAACGTGCATGGAAGGTCAAAGCTTGGAAAGGTAAGGTTTACAGGCGAAAATTGCATGTTACAGGCATGATGTTTGTACTCCTGGCTGTCAATGTCCTTCGTCTCTATTCCCGTGAACTGCCCCATTCCGCTGCAGTACTTTTGGCTTCCATTTTTAACTCTGGGGTTTCCCTTGTGCTTTCACACATTTATAATATTCCTTCAAAAATAATTGCGATATGTATGGCTATAGGCCTTCCCAACGGTTCCTCGTTTTTCTCGTTTTCAACCTTCGACGGCCCCGCCAATAACCTTTTCCTATTGAGAGTTGGAACGGGCTGTTTGTAGGAACCGCTTAGTCAAGGTTTTATTGTCCCAGGGTGGGCGTCATGAGTTTCCCATTTACCCATTCCTGAATTTCGTCGTCATGTACATTATAGAACTTCGGAGTGTTCGTGGTTGAGTTGCTCAGCCGTTCATCCACGATCATGTCTTTGGAATTCAATGCGAAAACTGGCGAGGTAAAAGCGATATCGCGTACCGATGGTAAAATGGATAAAGAGGTATGTATTCCGATTACGAATTTGTATTATCCAAGCTATCCAAGAAATCAGGTTCCATTAAGAGTTCATATCAGTACTATGGCACCGATGTTGGACGATTCCATTTACATCTCTCAGTCAGCGATAGCCACTTCGATGTTAGAGCACTTACATAACTTATTTGTTTGTTTGGTTATTTCTTCATTTTTATAATTATGTAAGTACTGCAGAGCCAGGCAAAAGTTATTCACAGCAAATATCAGCCATGGACTTCTTAGCATCTTAGCGTTACCTTTATTTTCAGATAGAGATGAATGGGCATTTCGTTGGGTGCTTTGTCCCGACGGGTGATGTGCGAAGTGTCGAGGCCATTGGTATTAAAGGCGATGTGCATGTGAATATAATGACAATCGAAGGATTTCCGTTTCTGAAAAGTTAGCTCATGTCATCCACCGATTTGTTAAATTACTCTTCAAATTAGACATCAAAACAATTGAATTGAGGTTGGAATA